AAGTGAAATAATGGACCACAACAGAGTCAGTCTCAAAATTTTTGTAGTGACCTCTGTATTGCATCACTGCTTACATTTCTTTCTTTTTTCTTCTTTTTTGTTGAGACAAAGTCTCATTATGTCTCCCTCAGTAGAATGCTGTGGTGTCACAGATCACAGCAACCTCAAACTCCCAGAGATTCTCTTGCCTCAGCCTCCCAACGGCTAGACCATAGGTGCCTACCACAATGCCCAGCTATTTTTTGTTGTAGTTGTCATTGTTTAGCTGGCCCAGGCTGGGTTCAAACCCACCAGCCTGGGTGTACATGGCTGACGTCCTACTCACTGAGCTATGGGTGCCTCCAACACTGCTTATATTTCTAATATAAACCATGAGGGAATACAGGTAAGAAGATATAAATTGGGGGGGGGAGAGCGGGGCTGGGTTTGAACCCTCCACCTCCAGCATATGGGGCCGGCACCCTACTCCTTTGAGCACAGGTGCCGCCCGAGAAGATATATTAAGATAAAGGTCAATCAAACCCATGATTAATGGGTCAAGAGCAGAAAAGACATAATTTTATTTGAAAATAAAAGAACTAACTGTAGTGAAAATGGGATAAACGCATTAAAAATGCTTCTTGCTTCTTCTCTGCTTTCTCTTGAAAGTATATTGTCTTCAGCAGGCAGTTCACTCTCTCTGCTCACCGTAGGTAAGCGTAGGTCAGAACGGCTCAGCCTGGAAGGAAGATGGATGAGGGCGGGGAGGGGCAAAAGGACACTTCGTGGCAGGTGAGCATTTTTCAGGCCTGATGACTTTCAGAAACCATTTACCAGGCAGCTTTAAATCACCGTCAAGAGATAGGCGCTCCTTCAGTAATGCAGGTATCACAGGCAAGAGAGGTGAATATGTTTTCTGTGACCACATGTGTGTTGTACTTCAGGGATTCCTTAATCTGAGCACCCAGAGTTAGGCTCCATGATCTTGGATTATTACAAGATTATAAAACATTTGAGGAAGACAGTCCATGGCTTCCATCAAATTCTCAAAAGTATCCATGATACAAGTAGTTTAAGAACCAGATGCTGAATTTCCGGGGGTGGGAGAAAGGTGGCTATGTAAAATATGTAAATATATAGGGCAAAATCTGTTCCATCCTATTACATAATGGGTGATAACTGAGGGCCTAACAGTGATTTGGGATTTTGATCTTGAGTCTATTAGGTGGCATTTGGTTTTAATTTCTAATTTCTAGTCAAATTACTTCATTTTAACATTATGCTTACACTTACTATTCTGATCATCAGTTAGTTCTAGTTATAGCATTTTCAAGGGCAAAATCCCTCTAAATTTCAGGGCAGTTCATTGTTGTTTACAGCGCTCCTTTCCACAGTATCACAGATAATTATTTCATACTTGACAGACTTTCAAGATTTACTAAGAGCCCAACTAAGCTGACTTACAGATTTAAAATGATAGAGATGACAGAAAAACATCTATACTCTCTTCTCCTTTCAAAATTCCTTATCCCAAAATGAGGAAAACAAGAAATGTACACAAACTTCACCTTTCATAGACTCATAACATATGAAGGCAGAAAAGGGTGGGAGGATGGTTCATGACCTGGCAGAGAAGAGCAAAGTCCAAGCCAAGTGCTGGTGCTGGCAGGGGTGAGGAGTAGGGGAAGGGGTACAGTGCCCTCCCAGAACTCACCAAGGCTCAGGAACTAGAGGCCTCAGCTACCACAAATATGGGGTGAGGTGGAATGAGGGAGTAATGAAAACAGTGGGTGCCCAAGTCTCCAGGCCCTCTCTGTGTAGTCATCTCTCAGCCCATCTCTCCATCATGAGGGTTATTTGCTAGAGAAACTCAACTGCAGGCTTGAGGAGACCAGCAAAATTAAAGTTAGGATGGGGTGCACACTTAAGAGGATTAAGTGGAAGCCTACATCTTTCCAGATGGGAAGCCACAGTTCGCTTTTCTCAAGATTCTAACATGCGTGTTTACACCATTCCTACACAGTGGGTTGGAGAGTCCAGAGAAATGAGTTTACATATTTATATTTGGAGATCTCCAGCAGAGGACCAGCTGGCCACCCAATCATCCCAGGATAAGGCCCTGAAATCTGCAGGCACCACCCACACATATTGGTGCATGGGGAGCTTTGCATGCCTTACTCATAACTCTGAATAGACAACCAAAGACTAGCAGACACTTGAGAGAAACCACCAAACACAGAGAAAAGAGGTTCAGAGGAAACAGGAAGTTCAAAGAACAGAAGAAAGTTTTAGAAGAATTAGTGTCTTCAGAACGATAAGAAATGGTAACACATCCATGGGTGAAGATTGGCATGCTATCATTAAAGGAGTAGCAAACAAGCAAAATATTATTATTTCTAGAAAGTAAGGGGCAAAGTCGAGATGAGCAAATCAATATAAGAAGTACAGCATCCAACCAGTTGGAGTTCTATTTGTATAGGACAGAAATCATACTGGATAGAAAGTTATTTTTAAAAATTAAATGAACATGGTACCAAAGAAATTGAGCCTCCAGATTAGGCTTAGCATGAAAATAGAATGAAAAAAAAAAACAAAGTTCCAGATCAAAGTATATCTTTGTGAAAGAGCTGAACACCAGGGATGCAGAGATTCCAAACAAAAGAAAATCAAGTAACATCTAAGTATTAGGAATAAGAATGGGTACACTCTGGAGAAGCTAGAACACAATAGGGCAGTCCTTCAAAATTCTGAGTGAAAGTGTTCCCAACTAGAATCATTAGGCAAGCTAACAGGAAATAGAATAAAAAATGCTTTTCAGAGATGCAAAGCCTCAAAAACCATGTCCCCCAGGGTTAAAAAATTAACACCAAGGCACTGGGGTGTAGGAGATAAGAGATCACCCCCATGAATAA